TGAGGCCTGACTTCTGTCAAATTAAGTCTCCTAAAATCAGGCTGCTGAAAGCTTGCTAAGGTACAAGGACACTTGTTCAATGTTAGTTGGGAAGCTTTTTCCTAGCATGCTTCAGGGCTCTGGACCAGCTGCTAAAGTCCTTTTTCTTTTGCACAAGCACAGGTATAGTGCTTTCACAAGTGCAGGCTCCTGATTTACAGCAATACGTTCAGGCTTTGTATGGTTTCTTTTGTCATTATCGTTAATGCATTGGCATGGGAAGGATCTGCTCTGTGGGCATAGAAGTTACCTTAATATTTGCAGGAGAAAAACCAATTAAAATTTGTACTTTTCAAAGCCTATTCTGCTGTTAACCTCACTAGGGAGAGTAAGAAACATGTACTTCTTAACTTGCTTGTGCTACAGAGCTGTTTGTGCTCTATGGCAAGCAGAGCACAGCTGCCCAAAGAGTTTTTCTGTCTCTCCACAGGTCTATTGAGCTGAACGGCCATGTGCTACGGATGGTGGATGACACCACACTGCCAGAGCTTATTGAAAAACCCCTTGGTCCTGGCAGCATACTCGGCCTTCCAGCCTTCTCCTACGGCTTTTATGTTATCAAAAATGCCAAAGCTATTGCTTGCATTTAAATGGTTAATATACACACATGCAGGATAAATGTAAAGCACTTGGCTAGCAGGGAAGTTTAATCCTAGAAATTCATGTTTCTACCATGAGATTTAATTCTAGCAAGGGATGCAAATGTAGCGGCACTGGTACGATGTGTGGGCCGGGGAAGACATGAGCTCCCACTAGGTAAGATGTATGTGAAAGATGCTCATTAAGCTCCCGGGAGAATTATTCAGGTAGAGCAAGCCCAAGCAGGTCCAGCCTGGGTCACTGCTTGAGCAGGGTGTCCCAGAGCTGCGTCAGCTTCTCACACTGCCCTTGGGGCTCTGCCAGCTGGGAGCTGCAACCTCCCCTCTCGCTCCTGCAAGCATGGCTCTTGGAGCAGTTTCTTCAAAAGCTTGCCTTCAGAAAGGATGAGCAGGGTTTTCATTTTAGCTGTACAGCTGTGATTTTGCCTGCACCATGTGATGAAGCCTGAGGAGGGGTTGTGGTTGCTGAGGGCATTTTGGGGTGGAAAGCGGGGACACACAAAGCAAACCGAGGTCGGGGTGCCTGCAGGGGAAAACGCCTTGCTGAGAAACCAGGTCCTCCGTAGGATTTGGGGCAGCACCACACATTTTTCCCAAGCTAGGAAAGTTCAGTCACAAGATGGAGCTGTGGCCACATGCTTGCCAAAGATGGGTTTTCGACACACGAAATGCAGGCTGTTCCTGCAGGGTGGTCTACCTCTGCCCTCACATACTTCATCCCCGGGAAGAAAGGAGAGAACCCCACTAGCACCTCGGTAAACCCTCCGTGGTCAGTGGGCTACACAGTGAGGGCTCACAGCTCCTCAACTTTCACCACTCTGGAGGCGGTTGGGCTGGAAAGGACTTCCCTGAACCTATCTGCAGGTGAAGCTCTGCTTTACGCTCCCTAACTCGCTCAGATCTCTCCTGTCATCGAGGAAGCAGAAGAGTAAAGAGATGGAGCAAACCACCCACCCCTCAATGATCAGAGGGACGTCAGTGGCCTTACAGCATCCTGGAGACAAACCTGGCTGCCCAGGGTGACATCCCTTCTGCAGGGTAAACAGCCATTTTGGCCAGAAATCTGCAATGGCCGTGCCTTTTATCCCCGGCCGTGCCTTCCCCGTGTGCACCTTGCTGTGGTTCGGTGTGCTGCTGGCCGCTTTTCTCAGGCACATGGGCTGCCGGTCTGCAGGGCAGCAAAACGCCTCAGTGAATACCTGTGGTCTCCTACATGTGTTTATTTGCATCTACTTTTATTGAAGACACACAATCCATGCCACCGTCAACGTCTTATGACATTTTGAGCACAACAGGGCTAAACACCACCACTATTCTACTGTATTTCCCTTTCTAAGGTTTAAAGGGGTGCTACCAGCTACATGGGGTTTCAATGCAGGGCGGGGGGGGGAGAGGACCGTTTCTAATGAGAAGACTTTAAAAACAGGTACTTTTGAAGCTGTGATGAAAAATGGTGTCAAAGGAGTGTTTGCATTCACAGCACAGACGTATTCTGTGAAGGGTTATGTATCAGGGGTAATATAGATCAGAAATGAGAATAAGGAAGGCTTATCGAAGTTCAATAAAAGAAGTAAAGAGAGCATAAAGTAGAGTGGAAAGTCTTACATACGGCCAACATAAAGTTAATAATATGTTATTATTATAATAACATAAGTTACAACTAAGACATCAAAGTTATTGTTTGCCTGGTAGATTCTCTTTAGAACTTTTCTAACAGTTTTGTTTATTCCAATGCTTGTGACTTTTATATTTGAATATTTTAATTAAAGTGATTTATACTAGCTTTTGGCAATCTTCCTTTTTTGTAAGACTCCTTTTTGGCATACTGATGTCACGAAACTCCCTAGATTTCTTCTGGTCATATATCACCTGTACTTTGTATGATTCCCAGGAAGAGTATCCAAGTAAATAAAAACTGACAGAAAGCTGTCATGGTTTAACCCGGCAGCCGGCAACCAAGAACCAGACAGCCGCTCAC